TCGACGCTACATATGTTACAGTAACGCCCTTCTGTATGTGTTGAATCTGGTAGATCTTGGATGAGATATCCATCATAGTTGAGTACCTTCGTAACGGTATATGGACCTTTGAATTCAGGATCCAGCTTGTGCGACTCGCTTGTCGTATTTGAAACATGATCGAGAACCACTAAATCCCAGATGTCGTATTTTCGTGTTGGTTAATATTTCGATCGGACGTTCTTTAACGTGGTTGCCTAAGAACTGCCATCATATCTTCAAGTACTTTCAAGTATGTTTTGGTACTTTGGACATTCTTTGAGCCTTAACTGATCCCCTGTCTTACGGAACAATCCGTTGTTGTGCATCGTATAATCTGTTGTTCATGCTGATAGTGGTCTCAGCTAGCCCTCCATTAAGAGAGTCGGCATTTTCAAACTCGATCGATGTTTACATAGAAAGCCGAATTCTTGAAGCCGTAGCCACCATCTGGCAATGCGTGGTCTAAGTGGTGTAGTGGCCTTAGTTGTTACCACCATATTACAGTCCGTTCGTAAAATAAATGAAGCACCTAATAAATATACTCGTACTCATTCAAGCGTCTCGACAATGGCCAAAACCTCTAACTCATGTGATGGATAGTTTGCTTCGTCTGCTGTAGTAGTGTACCGGTTTCCAATCGTCACTTTTGAGTTGAGGCATAACCCCCAATAACCATATGGAACTGATGCACACAACGCTATGCACTTCATGACTTGTTGTTGGATCGAATCAAATTAGTACTGGTGGTTTAGAAACCGCTTGATTTAATTTATCGAACGCCATAGCATGTTCGTCTTTCCATTTAAAAGTTTGCCCCTTCTTTAATGAAGTTGTTAATGACTTGGCCGTGCGTAGTCTGCGATGAACTTTCTGAAAAATCCTTTTAAATCAAGGATTCGTCTTACTTCACCAGCGTTGGCTGGCTGTGGAAAAGCTTATATGGAATTTGTGTTCTCTCTACCTGGACTTATACCATCGTGGCCTACAACGTACCCTAAGAACTTCACCTTTCTCGCCATGAACATACATTTGCTTGGCTTTAGCCGTAGGTACTCGGCTAGTACCTCTACTCCTTCACTAACAGTCTTGGTTGCAATAATTACTTCGTCAACGTAGCTTATAATCTTGTTTCGATTTCGTAAACCTCGTATAAATTGAATTATAATTTTTTGGAAAACCATTGGTGCATTTCGTAGCCTAAATGGCTTCACATTGAACTCAAATAATCCCTCCAGAGTTATAAATAATGTCAACATTTTACTGTCTAAGTACAATGGGATCTGGTACTTTGCCGGAGTCATATCAAGAGTCGTGAAAAACGTATTAGACTCAAGCTTTGACAATTGCTCCTCTACTAATGGCAATGGAAATTGCTTCTTAATTGTAACTGCATTAAACGCTGGGAAGTTGACACACATTCCGTCATCTCCATTCGCCTTCTTTACGATAACAATTGGAGCTACATGAAGTGATGAACTTTGGCGAATGATATTATGTTTTTACAGTTCGTCGATGATCGTTGCCAATATAAAAGACACTTGATATTGTCTACCTATCACTGGCTTCTTGGTGTTCGCCTAAATTTGCATACATGTGGTCTTACGTCGTCCAAGCTTTCCCATGTCTTCTGCGAAACAATCATCTTATCTTTGAAATAATAATATGAACACACATATATATATATGACATTGCCAAACAAATAGTGCATACACAAACCAACTTACATACATATGTATATGCGCACACATGTAAATATGTCACCCACAAAAACTACAAACATTGTTCTACAAAAAAAAAAAACATTCGTCACAAGTCAATATGTCAGCCAAATAGTCGAGGCCCAAATTTATAGTGAATCAAACAACAACAACATTTTCATTCATTAACGCTAGCGTACTTTGAACAGGCAACCTCGCTTCATTCATAAAAACAATAGATCGATTCACAGAATCCGCTACTATCATAAAATCAGAGCGCCGAAAACAAATCTAAGTCAAATTCAGAAGAATATACGAAGTAATATCAATATTAAAAATATGTTGGAAGGAAGTTATTCCCTCCAGGAAGAAATTCTGTATTTGCCACTGGTAGTCCGTGACAACCGAGATTTCGCATGATACAAAGAGTGTACATATTTACATACATACATATGTTGCATGTAGACAAATTTACAATTTATGCGTTCTTTGAAATTTGCTTACATACACAAATAATTACTACTTGGTCTTTTCAGATCTTATTAACGCAAATAAATATATAGTAAATATATTATTTACAAAACATGTATTAATTATTTAGGTAATAAGAAATAGGTATTTCTTATATCTTTGAATTATATGCAAAGTCAGTTGCGCGTTGTAAATAAACGAATCTGTAAGCATACATTTCTTTACGTTGAAATTAGCATTATTTTTCTCGTTTAACCAGAGAACGTATATCATAGAGAAGGTTCATGGTGTGCCGATTGTCAAAATGTTCCTCTTGACGGAGGGTTACTCGCCAACATTAGTGCATTTCACCACAAACAAATTATAAGCTGATTTCACCAGAATTTTACCCCTGCGGAGCGCAAAATAGCAGAATTGAGCATTTTGAATGTTAAATGAGAAAAATAATGCTAAATTCAAGTTAAGAAATGTACGCTTACAAATTCGTATATTTACAATGCGCAAACGACTTTGCATATAATTTTAAGATATTCTGCATATACAGGGCGGCTCACGAATCGTGCTACAAAAATTAACCGTATTAAGTTTCTTTTTTATCAATTTTTGTTGTATTGTATAGAAAATTTTAATTTTATTTTATACAATTAATTATTCCTCCATGCTTGGCCACGCATATGCGACACCTAATTAGCAAATTAATGCGGGCTGGAGGGTTCAAGTCGGGATTGCCTCAAATATCTATTTAATGGACTGCTTCAGCTCAGTCAGATTTCTGGGTTAGATTTTGTACACCTCTTGCTTGACATAATCTGATAAGAAAAGACCAAGCGGTCGCAAATATTCTTATACATAATATATGTATAATTATGCGTGCATGTAAACAAATATGAAAGTACCCATTATAATTATTTATTTGTCTGCATGCAACATATGTATGTAAATATGTACACTCATTGTTCCATGCAAAATCTCCGTTGCCACGGACAACCAATGGCCGAAGCTCACGTTTTTTGTTTTCTTGTCAAAGAGTCACTGTGTCGAAGGACTGACGCGACGACAAAGCGTCACAACATTGTGTTGTTGGTAGAAAATCCGAGCTGTGCCGAAAAAATATTAACGAACGGCCGCCGATTGTCACCGCTTCCCTTGCCGCTCTAACAGTTTTGCCCACAAATCATCCTAAATATGTATGTTTATATATGAGCATGCATACATATTGACGGAGATGTTTATGAGGCACGGAAAAATATTTTAAAATTGTAAATTTAAATTGTAAAATATTTTAAATCGACAAAAGCTTTGTTGCCAGTTTTGTCAATTTTTTCTGTGTTTTGTGGGCGTGCGTGGTTGCAACTTTTCCCTTCCAGAGGGAATATCAGAAATTTGTTCAATTTATGATTTTTAGCTTTTGCCATCGTCGTGAAAAGACGCTTGTAGACAAAGGCATGCTCGGGGAGATGTGAGGGTATTTGTTTTTATGAATGAAGCGAGGTTGCTTGTTAAAAGTACGCCTGCGTTCATGAATGAAAATGTTGTTGTTGAATATTTTACTATAAACTTGTGACGATTGTTGTTTTTGTAGAACAATGTTTGTAGTTTTTGCGGGTGACATATTAACATGTGTACGCATATACATATGTATGTATGTTGGTTTGTATATGTAAATCAATGCGCGCACATATAGTGTATTGATAAGTGATAAAATCATGATTTGAATTTCTGAATGCGTACATATGACTATATAAGATTAATATGATAAAAGATGTATATACATACATATATTGTAATAAATTTAATCTCTATTATTATAATATAAACTATTTAGTATGAATGTATATTAGGTAAAAACTAAATAAAATTATTAAATGCCCAAATTGGCTATAAATATTATTTCGAAATTCCATAATTTCATAGATCTTATCAGTTTTGCATGCATTTATAAAAATTCGCAAAATGATATTCATATCAATAAATATGATTGCATATAAACGTATAAGAATATAAGCCAAAAGGCTAACATGCAGCTGTAATATCAAAGCAAGTCACTGAGAATAATTTTCATTGAATTCTCAGCTCTGTTCACTCTTCACTGTTAAAATTTCTCCTTCCGAGCCAGATTTGGTGAAATTCACTAATAAAATCTTGTTAGGTTTTGACAATTCACACGCTGGTCCGCAATTGAACCTTCTCTATGATATACGTTCTCTGGTTTAACACTCAAAGTGTGCAATTCTGCTATTTTCGAATCGGCAGGGCTAAAACTCTGGTGAAATCCGCTTATAATTTTTTAATGATGAAATCATTTAATGTTGGCAAGTAACCCTCCGTTAAGAGGAACATTTTGACAATCGGCACACCATGAACATATCATTTGAACAATTCACAATAATAAAAGTGAGCATAAATATACAAAACAAAACTTGGTAGCATTGAAGATAGAAGTTAGACCACTTTAACCACGCATACTCTCTTGCTTCCATTGTCCAATCGAAGACAGCTTATATAAAGTTGTGCCGATAGCCCAAAAACAACAATTTGTCAAAAGTAATTGGGTCCATAATGTCAAAATTAGCCGTTTTGCTTTGTATTGTTTTGATTTTATGATTCAAAAATAATTTTTTTAAAGACTTTAACCGATGAAAATGCGTTTTTTGAGTGATAACTGAATGCGAATAGATTGTAAATCACACAAAATCATCAAAATGTAAACAGAAAAAATCGTAAAAAAAAACCAACAGTTTTGTTGACATTATGGATACAAACACTTCTTTCGTAAGATTAAAGCACGCTCCGTATTGACACAACCTTATATAGATAGATAATAGAATCATATTTTATCAATAGTTCACGAACGTTGTTAAATTTGAATAATATAAAAACTTTGTTGCCTTCGTTTTTGCTTTTCGTAGCTTACTTGGTTTACTCGTTGTGTTCGTAATTATTACTTTTCCCTTTTATTCGTTGGGACTTTTCTCGTTGCGCATATTGCCGTTGACAACTCTCTGCTGGCTTTCTTTGCGATGCTCTCTTAAAACGTATAGAGCCGTTTGCGCTGCCTTATAGCTCAAACAGTCACCGACATTCCTCCCTTCCGTACTTACCGCAAGTACCAAATCAAATTTGTCTCGGCTGTTAATTCTAATTTCTTGATCGTGTAACTGCAACTTTATAAGCGGGAGATTAGTTTAGTCCCCAACATTTTTGTCATCGTAATATATATCCATTTTAATATTATTCACCTTTTTGTGAGCAATACCTGAATTTAATTGTTTTGATTTTTCGTTTTAAGTTTTCAGAAGTTTAACTATCTGTCAAATCTTCAGTTTCAATGTTGGCAACACCAATGAAACTTTGACTGAAAAGAGTGGACGTTCGTTATACCAAAAAAGTTTGGTTAAAAAAAAGTTGAGTTGCTTTAACATATAAAAGTATAATAATAAATAAAAATCAATCACAATAATTGGTGATCTAGGATAAGTAGAGTAGATGTTCGACTGAACAACGTGTGGGTGGTCCTATGTTATGTAGCCTTGAGGTGATCATGCACTATGACACCTTAATGTTATTGTATTCACTAATCTAGACTATTCTCACTGTCGTTAGAGATTTATAAAACAGCTGTTTTTGACTAGCCGATCGAAGCTGAGCATTTATTTCGCCACAACTCTATTAGATCGGCTTCGACAGCCTGACTCCAAATTATTCTCCTTTTTTATACTCTCGCAACCTGTTGCTACAGAGTATAATAGTTTTGTTAACCTAACGGTTGTTTGTATCACCTAAAACTAATCGAGTTAGATATAGGGTTATATATATATAAATGATCAGGATGAAGAGACGAGTTGAAATCCGGGAGACTGTCTGTCCGTATGTCCGTCCGTGCAAGCTGTAACTTGAGTAAAAATTGAGATATCTTTATGAAACTTGGTAGACATGTTTCTGGGTACCGTGAGACGGTTGGTATTGCAGATGGGCGTAATCGGACCACTGCCACGCCCACAAAACGCCATTAATCAAAAACAAATAAATTACCATAACTAAGCTCCGCAATAAGATATAAGACTGTTATTTGGTACACAGGATCACATTAGGGAGGGGCATCTGCAGTTAAATTTTTTTAGGTTAAGCAGAGCTCAAGATATGGGTTTTCACCTAAAAGTGGGCTGTGCCACGCCCACTGTCTAATTTTGAACGCGGTTCCTATAAAGTCATCTCAGACCATTCCAGAGATAAAATTTAATGTCTCTGGCGTCTTTAGTGCTTGATTTATCGCGCTTTTAGTAGTTTTTAACAGTACCGTTATATGGGGAGTGGGCGGAGTTACCACCCGATTTCAACTATTTTCACACCATCAATAGAAGTGCTAAAAGCATTTGCTTCCAGTGAATTTTGTTATTATAGCATTAGCGGTTTAGGAGATATGCACATTAAACCTATTAGAGGCGGGACCACTCCCACTTTAAAAAAAAATTTTAACTGCAGATGCCCCTCCCTAATGTGATCCTGTGTACCAAATAACAGTCTTGTATCTTATTGCGGAGCTTAGTTATGACAATTTATTTGTTTTTGATTAATGGCGTTTTGTGGGCGTGGCAGTGGTCCGATTACGCCCATCTGCAATACTAACCGTCTCACGGTACCAAGACCACTTGTCTACCAAGTTTCATAAAGATATCTTAACTTTTACTCAAGTTACAGCTTGCACGGACGGACGGACGAACAGACAGTCACCCGGATTTCAACTCGTCTCTTCATCCTGATCATTTATATATACATAACCCTATATCTAACTCGATTAGTTTTAGGTGATACAAACAACCATTAGGTGAACAAAACTATTATACTCTGTAGCAACAGGTTGCGAGAGTATAAAAAACTTATTATTATAGCTTTGAGTATACTGCCAAATGGAAAATTCATTATTTGTTCCATGGACAAATATTTGTATTAATAATTTTTGAAATTAAACCTCAAGTACAATCCCTTGGATACTTATACTGACAATAACGTTTTCGGCTTTATTCGTGAATAATATTTTCACTGTATTAAACATTTTATTATTATAGTATGTAATGTATACCATAGACAAAGGAACTTGTGGCCGGATCTACTAGTACACTTATAATATGTGATATGTATAATTTTCTGTTATATCTACAACATAAAAAAATTGTAAATCCTTGGAAAATATAGTCCATGTTTGTTAATTATACTTTTTATTTAAGTCGATTTTTAGACAACTCAATAGCAGTTAATAAAATCTGAGTGGATATTGGAGAACTATTTTAAGGATTTGGGGTCATAACAACAAAACTAAGATTTGAGTGGCTGGGGATTGTTCCTAACAAGTTCTACTATTTTGGGAATCAAATTTAACAAGTGTTGACATTATATTTATCTAAATAGTTTTGGATAAAATCATAGTTTAAACTACAATATGCTTCCACACAAAAATAATTTTCAACGAAAAGCATCTGTGAGTAACGGTGACATTTGCACAATATTTTCATAATTTTTTAGGATTGGATTTGTGAGAAGTATTAATACGGAACATTTGAAAAGAGATATGAGACACTTTCGCCATTATGTGTCCTTCTAACAGCTTCGGCAAACATCATCGAAACATCAATGCACTGAAAAAGTAAAAAGTTAGTTTGAACACGGTAGATATAAAAATATTACTCAAACCTGAATTTTCGGACAGTCCCTCATATGTCCATCTTGTGGTATTGTATTTGTAACAACGACAGCTTCGAAGCAAGCATTGTTAATCCGGGAAATCGCCGGACCCGAAAATATACCATGAGTTAAAATGGCATAAACCTAAAAAAATATGATAATTATTTAATTAAAAAATCAGTATGAAAACAATTCACAGTAAGAGAAGTAAGAATGGTACTTTGATGAGCACGGAAAAACCCCTAATACTATGCAGCTAAAAGCGACTAAAAAAAACAGTCAAAGAGTGCGGTTGTGTTTTTTGAAATTATAAGCGAAACATACAAACATATGTGTATTGATTTTCAAAAACTAAGTGTTTCGTATCAGGTTGATATTGTAGAATAAAAAAGTGTTGAGCTTTTCAGTTTTTCAAACTATATTTATTATTTATTTAAAAGGTCGCATTTTATATTATGTGCATATAGTCCAAGTAAATCATAGCAATTTTTGTATTTTTTGCTCTTTACTACAATAAATATAAAAATCAGTTCACCAAGCGAATTCGGTTGATAGCGAGATATTTTATAAGTATACGACAAAAGGTTAAATAAAGAAGAAAAAACATTAGCTTAGGTTGCATCGAAGCTATAATACCCTCCACCAATAATAAAGTTTCTATACAAGACTTTGATTTTTATCGATCAGTTTGTATGGTTATGTTTATGCTATAGTAATCCGTTCTGAACAGTTTCTCGGAGATAGTAACATTACCTTAAATAATAAACCGTACTTCATTTCGTGAAGATATCTCGTCAAATAAAAGAATTTTTCATACCAGAACTTAATTTGTATCGATCAGTTTGTATGGTAGGGTGTATAGTGGTCCAATATCGGCGGTTCCGACGTATGAGCAGTTTCATGGGGAGAAAAAGATATGTGCAAAAGTTCAGTTCTATATCTCTGAGGGACTAGTTTGCGTATACACAGACAGACAGGCGCACAGACGGGCATGGCTAAATGAGACGAGTCACGCTGATTAAAATGTGCCTCCTAAATTGTAATGTATCCAATCTTTTATTTCTATTCAATCAATTCAACATGAGTAGACAGATTGGCTTTTGAAGTATGTTAACCAGAAACTACGTACATATTAGATATACTACTAATATATTTATAAGAGCCAGTCAATAATAATTTGTACAACATAGTTTTTATTTACCTTGAGTGCACCAGCTTCAACCAACCGGTCAGCAGCATGAACTATAGTACCACAAGTGTCCGCCATATCGTCTACTAAAATAGCAATTTTGTCTTTCACATCTCCAACAAGAACCATGGAAGCTACTTCGTTTGCTTTTTTTCTTTCTTTATGAATAAGAGCAAACTCAACATTCAGCCGATCCGCAATAGATGTCACTCTGAAAAAATGAAAAGAATTTCCTTTTCACTAAGCATTTATAATTTTAATATACAATCTGACTGATGCTTCCTTTTTTGAAGTGGGTAGATAAATTCTTTAAATAAATTAATAATAGTATGGATGTAAAAGCACATAAACGGTATCTTGCGACATTATGTCCTTATATTTATTTTAAAATATTGATCAGTGTAATTGTTTGCATCTCGTTTGTTCGAAAGCCACTTTATCATATAAAGTTTGTTCGTTAAGGGGTTATATCCATTTGCAACTCATAAAAAGTGTGATTTTTTTTTGAGAGGCATTTTATTATTTTTCGAAATAAAAAATAATGAACATTCTATTTTTATTTCCAAAAACTTTTTTTTGTTTCTAAATAAAATTTCACTACTGAGTGGCTAAAATATATAGAAATAGAGAGAAAAGAAATTATTATTAAAAATATTATTCGTTCCAATTTTACCTGACAAAGAAATATAAAAGGTCGTATGATTCAAGCCGTTTCGGGGAAAATTTCCTAACCGACTCTGAAAACAGTGTTTGGAGAAGGCGAATACACTAGGTTAAAAATAATTTTAATTGCGATCTGAAGTGTAAAATTCGGTCAGTTTTTCAACAATCTTCTTGCCGTGAAATAAGAAAAATTTGTGCTCAAGCTTTCTGATGAAGCATCCTAAAGGTCCCAAATGGGCTATTAAAAAAACTGCAAAGTATTTACAATAAATACGAGTACTACATTTATGAAGAGGTGTTCTGACCATTATGGGAAAACTAGAAACGTAGACGGCAAGACACAGGAAGGAATCACGTGACATGCACCTAAAAGTGAGGACAAAGCTGTTGTTCTCCTTTTTGAGAAGAAACCATTGCTCAGTCTAAGAAAAGCTAAACAAATTTTGTTTAAAAAGGGATTAGATACTATATCTCTAAATAGAATACGGCACAGAATTCAGAGATCTGGCATAAAACGCAGCAGTACTGTAACCAAATCTTTACTCTTGACAACGCGGGCGATTGGAGCAAGTATTGAATAAACTTCAGTTATAGCAAATAAAGTCTATTCAAGTTTACAATGAGTTCCGCTATTTTAGCTTTTTTTGTGGAAGAAAAAAGAAACTAAAAATTTAAAGAAAAGATATTAAAAGATCACATTAATCCACCTGATGTACCAGGGGAATCGCATGTAAAATTTGGCTTGCATTTACTTGCATGATTGTATACCTAAGTACATGCTTACTTTACAGATTTACATATATCACCTTATCGACTAAATAAACACGCATTTGGGTGTTAAATTATGTTTTGCAAATCATCTTAAAATATCTGAATTTTTTCCATAAACTCAAAAATTATGACATTTAATGTTTTATTCTTATGTTTTCCCCTATAGAAATAACGCTAAATTAAATCGTAACAATAATATAAATTATTTTCTTAACTTACATTTCAAATCTGTCCACATTGCTTGTCAACCAGATCCTGAAATCAATATTTTAACATGGAATATTCCGGACAATACAGCGCTCGCCGATGATGCATTTTGTATACCAAAGGAAATCGACAAGTTGCTGGGTACAGAAACGTTCTTCAGTCTTCTATCTGTAGGCCAAATCAATCTTGGATCTAATTTACCCATCTTGCAAAAAACGCTTTTAGGCTGGATTGTTTCGGGACGCTATAAG